TGCGTTGACAACCTTTTGAAAATTGGGCTCCGGCTACCTCACTCACCAGACGAAACGCGAAAGTAATTGTCATACTTCAACTTTACGCGGGTCTTCTGTGAGGTCGTGGTACTTACCCGGACGGGCCTGCCCGTGCGTGCAACAGCCAAGGCTGCTGCGTGGCCCTACCACCGGAAAGTTGTACGAATTTAAACGCACTATCATTTACAAGGTACATTATTTTATCACACATAATTATGAGTACACACTTCATTTCAGTACCTTATATGAGTAACAATATTTGACCAAAATGGGGGAAATAGAACCGAGTCTCGTAAACACAGGTCATGAAATGACCTACTTAGGAGGTCAGAACTGTTTAGTTCGTAGATTATTTAATATTAGGTATATAATTTACCACAAATGCGCTTTTAATTTTTGTAAAAAAAAACTTTGTAATTTGTAATAAAAGATAATTCTTACATATAAGTACCGCTAATGCCAAAATAATAATCGAATATAACAAAAAAACTCAAGGCTGAACGTCGGTTGTCAGTTAGAGTGGCAGTTTTGGTTGGGCATCCGGTTTTAGAAGCGGCGTGATGCCTCTTGCATGATAACCGATTCCTTATAGACGACTCTACATTATTAGAAGAAGTCATAAATATGATATCTGTTGTAAATCAAGATTCGTGGTAGATCAGTGTCCCGGCGCTCTCCTTGAAATTAATTGTTCTTAAGGAACCCAAGTTGAATCCTCTAGCACCAATGAAATTTATAATTGTACATGACTGATTAACATGATGACGTATGTAAAAATATAACAATAAAATGGAGTTTTATTCATGCTTTACAATGTAGATTTAAAAAGGGTCTTTGTTCTAATTACTAAATTCTATAAAGTTACTAGCAGTCCCGGCAAACGTTGTTTTGCCCTATAAATTATTTGTAGGGTAGAAAAAAATGTTTTGGGTGGACCACCCTTAACATTTAGAGGAATGAAAAATAGATGTTGTCCGATTCTCGATCCTGGCCGATATGCACACAAAATTTCACGAAAATCAGTTGAGCCGTTTCGGAGGAGTTCAATTACAAACACCGTGACACAAGAATTTTATATATTAGATTCTTTTGTCTTTGCAAATGCTGTTATTTCGTCTTTGTCTGTGTTGGAACTAATTCGAAAACTTTATTATATTATTTTTACGTAGCTTTTCCACGCTACACTCCCCGGAAGTAATCTAAGAATCAATGGATATAACGCCACTTATACTTTATTTCCTAAAGTTCCTCTGAAAGCATACTTTATAAAACTACTTTCAAACTCCTGACGTTTCAAATGCTCTGCAACATTCACGCTTGCGAGGAGTACGCGAGAAAAGTTTATAAACAAATTTTTGACACGATCCGGAAAGTGATTTTATAAAAAACGTACCTATTTCAGATATTTATGGGTTAGTAAACCCTCGTGAACCAGTTTCGCGTCTATTTCTGAACGCGGCTGAACATCGCCAATCTGGAATAGATTAATTTCCGCTCGCACAATGAAAAACACAAATTTTTCCGATTAAGGTTTAACATTGATGTACCAAAAGAGCTTCGGTCCCTTTTATTTTCAGTAAACTGACCCAATTTCAAGTCACTCTATTTAAAATATAAAAAAGCTATTATATAAATATTTGCTTAATTCGTTAAGAAGCGAAGAAAAAAATTATTTATTTCCACAGAAAAAGATTAACCTTGCACATATACTATAGCTAGAATAAATATACAACCATCGTTGGACGTATGTATGGACATTTGTCTATTTCCTTGGCATGGTTCGCTATCGAAACGTCATGATTGATTTTCACATATGAGGTGTCATATAATCACTCTAGTTGCGTCAGTGAGTATCAAATATTTGAAATATTTAACGTTGTCTGATGTTATGTTTCTTGTTCTTATGTTCTTCATGGGATTTTCTTCCTTTGTATGAATACATGGTTTACACAATACAAAATACATGGTTTAAAATAAATATCTATCCTCTCTAGGCTGTTACTTGTTCGAAGTGTTAAGAATTTTCTAACGACGGAATCCGAAAAATTGTTCGATGTGAATTAAATAATAACATGGAAATAAGAATGCGTATCTTACATATTAAATTTATATTACATTATAATAAATAAATGACGAGTGATTGAAGTCCGTATTTTACTTTAACTAAAGCTTTATTTCAATTGGAAAAGGATTAGTTAAGGCATTAAAAAAGGCTCATCTCATGGGCCATTTATGTTATGTTTATGTTATGTTTATGTTATCATATCGTTAATGCGCACTGAGTTATATAAAATAATATAATAAGTAACGAATTCATACAAATCTGATGCTGGATAAAAAATCTGCAAGGGGGTACGATTGGCCTAAATTTTGACCCAGGTCACTGGGTGATCTGGTTATGCCCCGAGACACTGAACTCTGCAAAGCTCTACATTGAAAGCTTTTGTTTTCTTTGTAAGTATGAAGGTGGCAAACGGGTTTACCTGAAGTTAAGAGATTGACGACACCCTTGGACAATCAAAGTCTACCTTTCTACAAAATCTGGACCCGGCTATCTCACTTACAAGACGAATTAGTGTAATTTAATTAATGCCAGTCCGCAACGAACCTATCCATTCGCACAGCAGCAAGTAGCGTGTCCCTACCAGAGTAAAGCAATTATATTCAATTCACAGCAATTATATTCATACAATAGGAACCTTATTACGACACGGTGGTAGATTTATAAAAATAAATTTACGTTATAAGCGTTTCTCATGTCGATGAATGATTTTGATTGAATGAATGAAATTATTTTGATTTTTTTATTTTAATTCATAGATAAGAAGACATTCCTCCATTTTTATAAAGATATATTGAATTGAACTTTATCGGATATCTCATGAAACTTAAAGCGCGCTTCCGAGATAGAGCCCAAGAGTTTAAACTTAACCTTAATGAAATACGTATCCAGTGCCAAGCTCGGAGAAAGTTAAATTATAATAAGGGTCTTTGTTAAACATACAAACATTTCATAACTGAAAAACTGCTTGAAAATTGAACCATAGATTTTATAGAGTTTAACTTTTATTATAATTCCTAACATTACCAGCGTTCATGGTCGCGGGAGTCTACACAAATGTAACACATTTATATAAAATACTTCAATTTATGAATAGGTGTAATATTTTATAATAATAATGTAATGTTAACATATAAAATAACTAAACCTTTCTAGAATCGTTCATAAACAAATTCAATCTGTATGAACTTTTTATAGGAGGCAATTTGGTTATTTTTCAAACATCTATCCATTGTTAATTATACATAAAATTTATATTTACAATTCAAACGCTGAAGTCTAAAATGATATATGATGTAATAATACTTCAAAACACAGTAAGTGTATGTGTTTTTAGGTAGGTTACATTATTTTTTTATGAAGAAGGCCATTGTTTTTGCTTTGTGATTTTTGCTCCATCTAATTGTTAGCGAGGTGTTTAGATGCTTATTTTGAAATTTTATGATGTTTTAACTACATTTTTAATCCTCCACATGCGTCACGGTCCATAACAGAGTAAACGTGCGAAATTGATTCGACTTACGACGACTTTTTTCCCTCTGAATAAAAAAGAAATTTTTAGGGTTCCGTACCCAAAGGGTAAAACGGGATGCTATTACTATGACTCCGCTGTCTGTCTCTATCTCGTGAAACGTGATAGTTAGTTGAAATTTTCACTGATGATGCATTTCTATTGCTGCTATAGGAAATCTAAAAACGGAAAAATCATGTCAAAATCAAATCATTTTTTCCGTTTTTATCGATAATTGTACGAAATCCTTCGTGTATGAGTCCAACTTGCACTGACACGATTGACGTTTCCCTCCCACTTAAAAATCAAATCATTTAAATTAAAGCAATTTAATAAATAAGTTTTTTCTTGATCCCGGATAATATTATTTGACCACAATTAATCGAAGAGAGCGCACTGTTCCAATACAACAGACGCTTATTGAATGTGAACTCTATGGAAGGAGTATTTAATGGTTTCTTGTATTCAAAATAATGTTTTACTGTGGTAGAGTCACGAAGTTCTGCTACTCTACGGTAGGCACGTCCGTAGAAGTAACACGATCGCAGAGAAGAATGGCGTGAGGATTATAAACTCGTTTCGTCTGGTGAGTGAGGTAGCCGGGGCCCAAATTTTTTAGGGTTGTTAACGTATCAACATCAAGCAAGCCATCGGGAGTTGTAGATGTCCTTGGGCGGCGGTCATTTAACATCAGGTGAACCGCCTGCTCGCTTGACAACTTTTGACATAAATATTTTTACGTATACAAAACATTGTTGAATAAAAGTACCTGTATAAGATGTCTATGACAATTTTTATATCAAACTTCAGACGAACGCGTCGCAGCGTCAACGGACAACACAATTCTGCGACTATGGACCCCCATTTGTTTCGTAAAATAAGGATTCGTTAATTTGCGTATAAGATTAAATACTGCAAATTCAATACTCCTATAATACAGAGAAGCAATATTTGATTGAATTTTTGGATTACAATATTTTTTTAATATCCCGAGGCGACTATATCTCTCTCCAACTGAAATTTAACTTTGCCTTATATAGCCCGAAAATTGTTTCGGTAAATCGCCACTCAATTACTTTACTACAGTTTGCTTGAAAGTAAAATAAAAAAATATTACGTGAACAGTTCATGGGATGTATTCTTATTAGATTTTGACCATCTTGTAGGAATTCATTCATATAACGTACGCTATAATGACTCTGTACAATTCGTGTACGAAAAATACCGATAAAATGTATATTTCAGATACATTCGTCAATTACTTCTCTAAGTAAATTATTTAAATAAAACACTAGTAAGTACGTACCGAGTATTAAATGCGGACGCATGTAAACAGCGTACCCAAATTCGCTGGTACGAACGAGATTCAAATAAATAAAACTCGAGGCGCTCTCGGCATACCATTACCTGATGCCGTCCCGAAAATCCGCTGGCGAGGCAACAACAAAAACACACTGGGCACTATAAAGAACTGTGCGTATAGTTCGTACAAAAATTGTTACACTAAAGCCCTACGGTACGAGACGGCGCGGACACGTCCTCCCCACGCCGATGCCAATGTGCCACTGAATCAGAGACAACGAACTCCGCGCTGAGCGGGCGTTGGGGATGCGGAAAAATATCGATATGTCGATATTTTATATTAAATATATCGGCAATTTTAGCCGGTATATTTTGATCTGATATATCGATATAAAATATTCAACGGCGTAATCGTATCAAAAACGATTTCAAATTTGAATCTGGATTTAAATTCGTTATTATTTTTTGGACAACAGGGCCTAAAAAGCAATATCGATATATCGACATTTTCTCTTCGATGTATTGACTCTGATATTGTAATTTCTATAAATATCAATATATCGATATATTCACTTTCGGCATCCCTAGCGGGCGTAAATGTATACACGATATTGCGCCCGAACAAAGGCGGCACGGCCCGAAGCCGCACAGCTGTTTTAATGTTTGCGGAGCCGAGACGTCGCGAATCGATTGGGCCCGTGGCTCCATCTATCGACGCCCGTGTCCCTTTCCTCTTCGACGATAAAGAAGATGATTTCTCTCCGTATTCTATATGTGTCTATCCCACGAAAACCGCGCAGAAAACTGTACTCCTCGGCGCGTTATCACCGAAACAAATTGACTCACGCTTATAAAATTACGATTATATTTGTGTTTCATCAGCTGCTTGTTTCGTTAGGAGCTCCTTTGTTAAACATACGGTCTATTTTATTTAGGTTATATTTATTTACAACATTTATTGATAACAGAGAATCATGTCACACATTTGTTAAAACCGTCTAGGTAGAGTCGATAGCGTCTTTACAAACTTGACATACTTGTTTAATGTTTTTCCTTACTCATATTAATAATAATTATATTGTAACTTGTTCTATTTCAGGTTTTTATTTAATTATTTAAATCAATTAAACGTTATTTGTATATATTAAACAAGGCAAATTATAGACGTACCTATGACATTTCTTTTGAAACTTTTGAGTTGAACCACAATAATAGTCGTTACTATTGTAGTATCATTTTTATACCCAAAAAATTATGAGACATTCAAACAAGTCTATATTTAGTATAGAGGAAGTAGAGTCAGCTTACGTTATTTACTGGCTAGTAAGGTATAATGATAATTTTCTTTGTTACTGTCATTTGACACGTCAAAGACATAGTCATACGTTGGATATTTGCATAAAATCGAAACCGTTTTTCCATTTTCATCACAAACATTACGTAGTACCAACTGGCTACGCGAAGCAATTGATAAAGTGCGTCAGTGCATTCTGAGTGCGAGTGTACCGGCGCTGAGGGGGATGGCACTATACGTGCTTCCTTGTCTTACATCGATTCTTTCACCCGTTTCGTCTCACTCTGTCTCAATGTGCTCTCTTTCTACGTGTCGCGCACTGCGGTATGGCTTGTTCAGCTTGGGGCTCAATGTCCCATTTTTAAAGCAAGTCCTCGAGTGCGTACGCCATTGTTTTATATAAGGTAGAATGTTTAAACACCACCTATTAAATTCAAGTCATAATTAACTCATCAGACGTGAAATTAAAATAACAAGTCAAAAACGAGAAATGCAGTAGACAATCCATTTTTACAAAATATTATTTCATTAATGTACTCTTTCTCTCTCTCTCTCTCAATATAATATAAAAAAACATCATATCCCAATCAACAACTCATACACATTGTCTACAATAAAACAGCGGAAAATTTTAAATTCAATTTTTTAATCGTATCAAAGAAATACTTACTCCATTTGATTGTGAGAATTTTTTTTTCATTACAAAAGTTGTTATCGTTTTTACAGCTTCCGTCGTAACTTTGTTTAGAAAGAAGCCTTTGCAAGTCGATTTCAGCTTTCTTCAACAGTTGATTCTTATTTATGTATACTCAATGAAATTACAATGAAACCTTACAATTAAACTGATTGATTAAATTTTGCTCTGGAGTTATTAATGGTTCAGTGTAATCTAAACGAAAACTCAAAAGAAGTAAAGAACATATATTACTAGTAATTGTTTTATGAATTACTTTTATTATTTATCATTCAGTATTGCCTAAACTGAATGATAAATAATAATCCTCTAGTTAAAAATGATGAATCTTTATGCAAACTAAACGTATCATAAGTATCATTTATGCGACAAGCTTTGATTATGAGATTTTTCCTACAATCGGGTGGAAGAGTGCATCAAGTGCTACAATTTTTGGGGACATTCAAGTGTTTAACCTTAAGCAAAGTTTACTTAATGACTCCGTGGCGCAGTCGCCAAGGTATCGGCTTCCGTGTCGGGAGTTGTAGGTTCGATTCCCACACGGGACAACTATTTGTGTGTCCCACAGACAGCTGTTTCGCATCTGGATGCTCGTCCACGTGAAATTTATCTATATAAATTATTTATTAATTTATTATCCTAAAGTAAGAGCAATGTTACTCCCACTCCTGCTGAGGGGCCCATCGTGGCTGCACGACGTGCAAAACGCTTCAGATAGACAACTATACATCAATCTTCTGTACCTCACCGCCATTTAAGATACATATCTCAAACTCGTTTCATAGCTACGTCACAACGGTTTTGCTATGTGAGACTGAGTGGCCTTGAAATCGAATGCCAAAAGAAGTTTCATTCGAAAATATATTTGGCTCAAACACAAGAGAGAGCGGGATTTAAAGCAATGCGAACTATTAATTCCCTCTACATCTTCCGTAGTATATTTCTCTTGTTATTTAATATAATATGTCGTGCATTAATGATACGTATTTTTTTATGTCCATTACAAATTTTACTTTTCTCTTTTTATTAAACATAATATGTCATTAATGTGTTTTTATTTAATTGCAGTTGTAGTTTTTAGTTTGCCATCAACATAGTATTATTCCTTTTTTACACACGTGGACAAACACTCAAATCGGAAACAATTATAATAGCAGTTGACCCATGTGGGAAACGTACCCACGACCCGCGACGGCGAAACCCATGCATTAGCAACCACACCACTTTAGCTAGATAAAATAACCATATTGTACCAATTCTGTACAAAGCACTCGTCCCGACGTTTATTTTTAACTTACTCGTAATCTGTATAACAAGATAACGTGAATATACAAAAAGTAACGCAATATGAAAACAAAAAAAAAAACAATCCATGAATGAGATAACTCTAGTTGCATCACCTAAGTATGTCGTGTCACATTGTGTGTATTGTATGGCAAAGACAATCAACACTGTCATCATGCATCGATATCAATCACTACATAGTATAAACATAGTCGTCCCCTTGTCTGTCTGGCCCTATGTAACTTTAGAACTACGCAACGGATCTTGATGCGGTTTTTTTTACTAGATAGAGTGATTCAAGAGGAAGGTTTATATTTATAGTACATTGCACCCGTGCGAAGCCGGGGCGGGTCGCTAGTTCATGATAAATATAATTAGTGTTTTTCAGTTGGTGAATCGTAATGATTATCGAAAATGTGATGAAAACATATACTAACATAATAAATATAACATAGGTTATTATTGAATTTTTCTAAGTTTTTTATGTGAAAAGTTGCCAAGCGAGCAAACGGTTCGCCTAAATTTAAGTTCGTACCCCCACAGATGGACATCTACAACACCTAAGGGCTTGCTTATGCGTTGATAACCTTTAAAAACAGGAGGCGCGGATACCTTACTCACCAAATGAAACGCGAATGTTTGATAATACCACCTCAAGCCGTACTTCTGTTAGTCTATGGTACTTCTGCCCATTCGCACAGAAGCTTTTAAGCGAAAAGTTGCCAAGCACGCAGGTTACCTCACCTGATGTTAAGTAATACCGCCACCCATGGGCATCTGGTAATCCCGAGGGTTACAGATACGTTGACAACCTTTTGAAAATTGGGCTCCGGCTACCTCACTCACCAGACGAAACGCGAAGGTATTTGTCGTACCTTACGCCGGTCTTCTGTGAGGTCGTAGTACTTACCCGGCGTACGAGCGTGCCCATTCGTGCGTGACTCTACCATAGTAAAACATTATTATGAACATAAGAAACCATTAAGCTTCTTGCGTACAGAGTTCACATTTAATAAACGTCTCTTGGTTTCGAACAGCGCACTCTTTCGGATTCAATGATATGCCAGCATGTAGTACGCCCGATTACCTCACATACTAGACTACGATAAAGAATGTCACCTCCACTTCACGCCGTTCATCTTCTTTAGGAAGTGAAACTTCCCTGGAGCGTCCACATTCGTGCAACAGCAGAAAGTGTTTAACGTGGCTCTACCACATTAAACAGTTTTTCGCATTTCCATACGTACTTTTATCCTAATTCTGAAAGCATACCCTTGTACATGTATTGTATAATACAAAGCAGTTCAGTACCGAGATAGAGCTAGGGGAAAACACCCGTTTAATTTTTAAAAGCTCTTGGATAGCTACCAAACCAGAAAATACGATACTAAATTGTTTTTTTTTATTTCTATATATTGATATAAATTTATTAATAAATGTATCATAATAATTATTGATATTTTCCTAGGCCGTGTCACCACAGCCATAAATATTGAAAATATTTGTTTATTAAAAACCGCAAAATACTTTTGGAAGATCTGTAGCACTTACTGATTGTGATGACTTAATTTCTCAGGCCGTTTTCCCCTTTTTAAATAGTGAATAAAAAAGTTAGTATACAAAAATGTTCCTTTGTATTTTTTGTTAAAAGACATGAAGGTTTGTTTTAAGACGTTAAATAAAAAGAGCTCTACAAATGACTCTACATTACAGAACACTTACGCGTGGTGGATGTAATGCGTCAGCAAAATTTTAATTATGACTCTTATCACTCGACTTTTATAAATAATAAATAATATTCATTAGAAGTAATAAAAACAAACTCGAAGTAGATTACTACCTCGACTTTATTTTACATACTATTAATGTAAATAATCAAAATATTAATATTACTAATGATTATAACAGTCGAAAAATGATCATCATAATGTTTCCATTCATACTTATATAACTGACCAATTAAGGGTCAACCAAAGCGGGTTCAGAAATTAGGATTAGTCCGCAGAACGTACGGTAAATTTTTTAATATTGTAAAAAAAAATACAGAAATACAGACGATGCAGAAAGATTCCAATGCCGTATATTCGTAGAGGTTGTGCTGTGTTGTTATGACACTGGAAATATGTATATATATATTACTTACTGTACTCACCCATTAATTAAAAATATTCGTATCGTGAAGTCAAATTGAGTAAGAGTTACTCTACAGCTTGCATGTTTTTTAGTGTTACAAATAAGAAAAACACAACGTACATTAAGAATTTACTCCTGTGTTGAGGGAGGTTACACAAACATGACATTACACAATAAAGTTTGCCCTAAACCGGCCATAAACTAGAATTAGTAGAAAAGGAGGTAGCTGGAGGACACCAGGAGACAGATAATTATGCTAAAGGTAAATAACATAATGGCCTTAATACTGCGGTAAACACAGGCTCTTTTTCGCACACCACCACTAATATTAAAACTCGAATTTGTTTGCCGGTTTATTATATGTGTGATTAAACTAGGACATCACACCCATTCTTATTCTCGTATGGTACGTGCATTGAAAATACGCCGGTATAAACGAGTAAACGAGTCTACTGAAAACCCCTCTACGTTCCGTTAACCTAGAAATTGTAACATTCAAGCCAACTCCAATATGCGAAAGTTAAATTAAGGCCTTGAAAATCAGCTCTGAATATGTGATTTTCAACTTCAGGGAAAAGATAATTTTGAACTTTTTCCTCGCATTTGTAGAAATAATTAAAATGCTGGTCACGTTCGCACTTTTGCTTGAGCATTACTTTAAATTTGCTATTACATAATAATTACATTTACTAATATGATTGCAGTAAACCTTGAATTCGCCGGAATTTATTTTAGCTGTTGGCTTGGATTTTGATTTTTATAGGACAAATGTATTTTATGTAGTAATACTCTGTGTTGCTCCAAATCTTTATACCAAAAAAAAGCAAGAAAACTTATTTTATACTTTTGATAGTCAGAGATACCGTTTATGTTATGTTCATGTATATGACTGTGATGAAATTTTACCATTCAAGGGATTAAAAAAGTAGTAACCTTCTTCCACCACAGTTTCTCCTTTTGACATTGTTTTGAAATAATCACTCTGTATTCATTTTATAATTGATTTTTAGGAGTTCCACAAGTATCTCCGGAGCCCAAGATCCAATACCAATGAAATTAATATGGGACCACGTGGGATGCACCAGCTTTCAATTAAAAAAAGAACCATCAAAATGGGTTCACTCAATTGAAAGTTCTGAGGTAACAAACATAAAAAGATACATTTGAATTGAGAAGCTCCTCGGTTTTGAACTCGATTGATAAAATATAATTTAAATCAATGACTGGATAAAACTTAAAGCTCTCGAACATCGCCCCTGACCTTTTGATGTGACCTAAAGATTATATTATCCACAATATTACGCCTCCACAAAACTCGTTACAAAGTTGTTTTTTTTTTTTTTTTTTACTTTTAGTAGCAATACACATACCAAACCTTACTAATATATTTATTTATAATCGGTATTATTTAGACATGGTTACTGTCATGACATCTGACTTACTGTAGAATAAATAAGATTCAAATTTCGTAAATTTTGATCGAAACTTCACAAACACACACACATACACATTCATACAGATCTGGAATTGTTATTTGTGGATCACATAAATATTCTTCGGGTGT